GACCCGAATGCCTCATTTCTGAGCGGGATGCTTTAAATCTGTGTCTGGAATTAACAATAATTCAAGCTATTTGCTCATTGGCAGGGCTTGCTAGTCAGCTGCCATATTAAAAAAGTAAATACATAATTCCTACTATAAGGAAGATTTTAAATCTCCCTATGCACCTACCTGCCATGTGGCAGGTGGAGGCAAATCTCATAAATGTGCCCACTAGAAAGTCCCTATGCACCCTATTGTTTGGGGCCTGTAAAATATTTAAAGCAGTGGATGGGCGCTTCAATAATTATATTCCAGGGGGACCTAAAATCCCCACCCAGCCCCCAAGCATGGGTGACAGGTGAGGACTACAAAAATAATCTATTGTCCAAACCCCAGCTCCTATCAATGGGCAGTGGGTCGGGGCTCTAAGTAATTATACAAGCTGGGTGGACTTGCCATTATAAAGGTCAGTGGGGTTTAAGGGAGCATGGCTAGGGATCTGGTGATGTGCATTGCTAAGGGTATTTAAACCATTTGCCAGATGGCTGCTAGGCAAATAATAATTCAAGTTGTCATTCATTTACAAAAATGCATCCAAGTGATTACTGCAGATTCATTTGACCCAACAGAATACTTATTGTATTAGGCTATAGGAGAATATAGCCACAGGCATTAGAATTGCCATTGTGGTCAGAATTTGGTCATTTTTGCAGAATTTTGACCATCTGGACAAAATCCGGTGTTTAGTGAATAGATCTTGCTCTGCTGCAGTCTCAAAACATCTCCAACCTGTGATAGAGCACTGCCAAAAAAGCATTATTATAAGCACAAATCTCATGAAAAGCAGATGCTCAGCAGCAATAAATAAACAAGACATAGGTAGAGTCTGTGAAAGCCCCCCACCCTAGAAGCATCATTATGCACATGACTAGGCAAACATTGAAGGAGTAAGACTTGCCTGGTGATGGTCTGCTTCTGGTTGGCTTTGAGTTTGCCAGGTACCTACATAGTTCATTATGTTCTTTCATATTTCTCTACAAATGGGACGCAGTAAGAGCATTTCTCTAACTCATGTCATTTTTTTAGATCCCCATGTCACTGTGCAGTGGTTTGGATTGAGAGTCTCTTGACTCCATGCAGGGCCATATTTCTGCATGGGCACTCTGGGCAGTTGCCCGGGGACCCCATAAGCACGGGGGCCACAGCGCGATACCCATGTGCTTAGGCCGACAGGGGAGATCCTTTGATCTCCCCTACCGACCCACAGAGAGCCGACCCTGCTTACTTCCTTTGGGCCCTCTCAGGCCCGTGGGGAGATCAACGTTCTCCCTCACTGGCCCAAAGGCCTTTCGTTGGTGAGAGGGAGGGAGGGTGATAGGACCTGGGAGGCAGTGCCTCCCGCAAGCATGCCATGGCAATGCTTCGACAAAGTCTTTTGCTCGCGGGAGCAGTGAGGATAGCCTGCAGCCAGAGGAGCTGCAGGCTATAGATCTATACTACTCACCACTGGACCACCAGGGCTGGCTGTGTCCCCCCTCCTACACCACAGGTAAGAAGAAGTGTGGGTGGGACATGAAGCTTTTTTTTATTATTTATTTTAAATAAAAATAAAAAACCTCCCTTATCCCTATGCATCCCCGTCACACACACACAGAAACTCACTCACACACAGGACCCCTCTCACACTCACAACACCCCTCACACACACAGCACCCCTGTCTAACACACACAGCACCACTTACACACACACACACACTAAACCCCCCCACACAGCATCTCTCTCTCTCACACACACACACACACTGCACCCCTCACTGCTGTCTGTCTGTGTGTATTCTGCAGTCTGTGTGTTTGTGTTCTGCAGTCTGTGTGTATGTTCAGTAGTCTGTGTGTGTGTTCAGCAGTCTGTGTGTGTGTGTGTATGTATGTGTGTATTCAGCAGTCTATGTACATGTATTCAGCAGTCTGTGTGTATGTATTCAGCAGTCTGCATTTATTCAGCAGTCTGTGTGTGTGTGTTCAGCAGTCAGTGTGCATGTATTCAGCAGTCTGTGTGTATTAAGCAGTCTGTGTATAAGTTTAGCAGTCTGTGTATGTGTTTAGCAGTCTGTATGTGTATTCAGTAGTCTGTGTATGTATTCAGCAGTCTGTGTGTGTGTGTGTCTGTATTCAGCAGTCTGTGTATGTATTCTGCAGTCTCTGTATGTGTGTGTATTCAGCAGTCTGTGTATGTATTCAGCAGTCTCTGTGTATGTGTGTATTCAGCAGTCTGTGTATGTATTCAGCAGTCTGTGTGTGTGTATTCAGCAGTCTGTGTATGTATTCAGCAGTCTCTGTGTATGTGTGTATTCAGCAGTCTGTGTATGTATTTAGCAGTCTGTGTGTGTGTGTGTGTATTCAGCAGTCTGTGTATGTATTCTGCAGTCTCTGTATGTGTGTGTATTCAGCAGTCTGTGTGTGTATTCAGCAGTCTGTGTATGTATTCAGCAGTCTGTGTGTGTGTGTGTATTCAGCAGTCTGTGTATGTATTCAGCAGTCTCTGTGTATGTGTGTATTCAGCAGTCTATGTATGTATTTAGCAGTCTGTGTGTGTGTGTGTGTGTGTATTCAGCAGTCTGTGTATGTATTCTGCAGTCTCTGTATGTGTGTGTATTCAGCAGTCTGTGTGTGTATTCAGCAGTCTGTGTATGTATTCAGCAGTCTGTGTGTGTGTGTGTGTATTCAGCAGTCTGTGTATGTATTCAGCAGTCTCTGTGTATGTGTGTATTCAGCAGTCTGTGTATGTGTGTGTATTCAGCAGTCTGTGTATGTATTCAGCAGTCTCTGTGTATGTGTGTATTCAGCAGTCTGTGTATGTATTCAGCAGTCTGTGTGTGTGTGTGTGTATTCAGCAGTCTGTGTATGTATTCAGCAGCCGGTGTGTGTATACAGCAGTATGTGTGTGTGCTTGTATTGTAGGAATGTATTGTTGGAGGCACTAATAAATATAAGCTTAATTTTATCGATATTTTTTTTTTCTGTGAGTGGTTGTGTTGACAGGGCCCCAGTGCACTGTTTTGCCTGGGGGCCCATAATGTTGTTAAGATAGCACTGATTACAGGTAATTATGTTTTATTCTATTCCATACTCACACAGTCAGTGGATCATAGTGAGAGTCTCTTGGCTCTTTCTTGGTTATTCCTGGGATCATATGGATCCCATTTGTATCTTTTTCTTGTTGTTGTTGATGCTACTGGAACTGGCAGTGCTGTTTAGGGCACTTACACCCCACGATACTGCGCAGCTCACAGCCTCTCTGACTCTGCTTGCTCCCATGACATCTGGCTTTATAATAAAAAGCCGATGACTATAATTTGTGGCTAAAATCAGCTGCATCTGCAATATTTCTCACACAAAAAAATGCACTTAGTGGCTAGTTTGTAGATGAAGACAGTCTGTGCGTCATAAATTTAGACATCACTGAGATTTTGTTTGGGACTATCAAGCTCCCTTTTTGTGTGTGTTTTCTCAATAACTAGTACATTCACCCCCTTTTATTCAGAGCCATTTCCACTTGGGACATTTTCACAACTTTTTAAAATGCCCATAATAGCTTGTAACCTTAGTTATATATACTATGTGATTTTTCAGGGTTAATCACTCAAGGAAGAATTCAAGGTGTATTCAAAGTGAATTTCAATTTAAGGTCAAAATTACAGAACTAGAAAAATTCTCTAATTCAAATAGGAAATTCTCTAATTCAGATTGGAAATTCTCTTTGAATACTCACTATAGTCATTAACAGTTCGTCTTACAAAGTAGCAAGTGTATTTAAACTTACAACCACTAGATAGCACTGTTTGGTTAATTTAAGTAATTGAAAAGCTATTTATGTTTCTTGGATTTACAAAAAAAACGTGTTTGATTAAACTTGATAAAATGTAAGGATGGCCTGTTGCATTTTATAATGCATTTCAATATGGCATTTGAACATTCAATTAATACTATAATAATAATAATAATAATAACAATTACTTTATCTATACAGTGTGACTGGACAGTTTAAAATCTCAACCTAAAACTGGCTAAATAACTCTTTTATCTTGTTAACATTCTACACACATAAAAAGCAATTCATGGAAACAAACAAACAATATTTTTTGATAGGGAAATTCCCCTGCTATATGCTAAAGGGAAACTATAGTGCCAGGAAAGTATTATACAATGCTTTCCTATGGGTTTTTTGTAATTTTTTTTAAATTTTATAAAATAAAAAAAAATTGACATTCTTTATTTTTGGGTGCTTAGTAAGACACATGTTTCAAAGACATTTTAACACAAATAGACACGATAAGATATTTCATAATTGCAGTGGAAATCATTGCTGGATAATACAGCTATACAATTTCTAACAAGCTAACTGGATTGTGTTTTAGAAATTCAGAAGGTGAGGCAAGAAATTAAGAATGGGAGTTGGAGTTTTATCAATTATGTTCAATTTGTCTTTCCAGTATTTATATTCTTGGCTTTATGAAAATATTTTTTTTCCCCTCATTACCGCTTTAGAATAAGTGGACAAGAATGATTGAGGATTTTTCATATCTAAGTTATGCCTTTCACACACTTGGGCCAGATAATTTCTAACCGCAAATTTTCCTTTTCAAATTTTTTTAAGTGAACCTTTTTTTTTTTCAATTTGAATTTTATTGAAAATTTTATCGTGAAACATCTGTACTATAATCTGCGTAATAAAGTTATACACTGATGTATTAACACTGCTGACTGTGTATGATATAAATAACAGTTGTCTATACAATCATTGTTATTTTGAGTATGTCATAAGAAACGTTATTACATAAGGAAATAATATGTATGGGCGATGCAGAACAAGGGATATCATAAATGCAGTAGAACTCTTTAGTATACGGCCAAGGACAGATTTGCGTCTGTGCTTCCTGCTATCACCATTACTGAGCTTTACATGTTGGGGTGGCAAAGGCCCGGCCAACTGTGGTTTAAGGAGGTTTAACGGGCTTTCGTACCTCGCGGTGTGGTGCCAGCTTGGTTCGAGTCTTGTTATGTGAGTCTCTGAATTTTGAGGTGCCCGACCGAGTGCCAGGGTTTGTTTGTGCTGGTGTCCTTGTCTCTCTGTGGGGGCTGTGCCTTTTTGTTTGGAGATTTGACCTTCTGTTGGGACCCAACGGTGTTGCTGGTTGCAGGCTCTCGGTCATTTTTGGGTGTCTCTAAGGGTGTCTCTGTGGTGGCTGCTCTTGTGCGGGTCGTGAGCCCGAGTTTCTGCAGCAGTGGCTCTGTATCCTCTGTTGATGTCAGCGTTGCTGTCGTGTCTCCACTGGTCACCACTAGTGATCCCCCCAGTTCCCAGCGGTACCGTATGGAGTGATCTCTGAACTTTCTGGCAGTGGGAGCTAGCTTCCTCCTTTCCGCTAGGGCAGAGTATGGTATGTCCGCATAGATGGAGACCGTCTGGCCCTTGTATTGCATCGTTCTCTGTTCTCTGGAGCACTTCATAACCGCTGCCTTCACTGCGATGTCCCGGGTTATGGCTATTACGTCTCTGGGCGCGTCACTTGGAGCTGCAGCTGATTTCCTCACTCTGAATGCTGAGGTTATCGTGTGTTGGGGAGGGTTGTCCCTGATGACCATGGTGTATATTAGGTCTCTCACAAAGGTGAGTATCGTTTCGTCAGGTACTTGTTCTGAGATTCCCCTGAGACGCAGATTTTTTTTGTCTGTGGCGTGTTTCCAGGGTGGTCACTGTCCAGTCTGGTGTCGGTGGTTTGTATGTGTTTGTTTCTGGAGGCCTCTGTACCTTCCATCTCCTGTACCATGTGACGGATCTCCCCTATTTCAACTTGGGCTGCTTGGAGGTCTTCCTTCCATACCTTCCGGAGGTCGGTCAGTAGCCTCCTCATATCCCCTTTTGTGGAGGGTGTTTCATCCTCATCAGTGTCCGACCGCTCAGACTCCGCTCCTGAGCGGGGAGAGCTCAGCAGGTCTTCCTCCTCCTGGGAGGCCTCTGATGGCTCCAGCGTCCCCTGCTCCTCCGGCGCCATTTTGGTCTGGTGCTGTGCCGCCGGCTTCTCAAAGGAGAGCCGAATATCTTGCTGACGGGGAGCTGCCAGGTGATGTGGCTTCTTGTGTTTGCACCCCATAGCCTCTTTGTGTGTGGGGTGTCGGTGTGATCGTCGGGATTGCCGTTTTACTGGCTTTTTTCAGCTTCTTTCCCCGGCTCAAACGGAGCTCAAGGGAGACACGCCTGCTTGCAAGCGCTGTAGGCCACGCCCCCCGGGTTTTTGGTTTTTAAAGGTTGCCTAACCATCCAGAAGCCCCTCTAATGGCTGTAGACAACCACTAGAGATGGAATTAACCCTCCAAGGCAATTATTGTAGTTTATATAAAAAACTGCAATATTTGCCATTGCAGGTTTAAGGGATCTGGAGTACTGCACCCAGACCACTTAGATGAGCTGAAGTGGTTTAGGTACCCATAGAGTCCCTTTGAATGCTATAGAAGTGTACAGAGATCAATAAAAAGTTAACAGGCAATGGGCAGCTCAACCTGTATAAAATATCCTAGCTCCCCAGCTGCTATACCCCATTATGCTTATCCAACCACTTGTACTGCCTGTGAACCTGTGTGAAGCAAAGCTATGATAAGATTTACATACAGATCAGACAGTCAAGCCATTTACGTCAGGTACAGTATTCCCCTAGTACCACGTGTTCACTAAATAAAATAACTTAAACACAGTTATATTTCTGCTTTGTTTCTAATTATTATTATAATTTGTATGGCGACAACATATTCCGCTGTGATTTACAATTATAAAATTAGGATATTTGACAAAATGTAATTTACATACAGAATATAACAGAGACAAGAGGTGAAGAAGGCCTTGCTCAAATGATCTTACAATCTATTGATATCCCTATTAACAAATAACCTGTAAAATAAAAATGTTTTCATACTTCCAAATGTATTCAACCAGTGCCAACTTATGTTCTGCACATTGAAACAGGCATGAATTAAAATAATACAATATTAAAACTCAATACTGCAAAATAGCATTGCAAGATTCTCCCCACAGAAGGTTGTCTCATACAATCACATAGACTCAAGAGAACTCTTATTAATAGAGGTTAATAAATACCCATTTTTGGAATTTTAATCAGTGTGATAGTTTGTTTCTTTTCTCAAACCCCTACAGTTCAATCTTCTATTAATGATTACACATCCAAATTACTTGTCACTCAGTGCGGTTTGATTGAGACGACTCACCTATTCTGAACAGAAAGCTGTTAAAACATTTGACAATGCTTAAAGGCTACAAATAGATTAACTGAATGATTGATTTGTTCTAGGCAGTTTAGAGATTTTCAATGTGGCATGAACAAAACACACGGCTTATTCATTGTGATGACTTTTTATGCATGAGTGTTAGCCTGGATTTGCTTGAGTTGCATTTGAATCTTATCAAAATCAAGAACAATACATTGCCAGAGTGAATAATTTCAGCAGCAACAGCATATTTAAAGGGACACTACAAGCATAACCACTGTAGCTTATTGTAATAATCATGGTATAAGAAGTGCACTGATCAGCTACAACATTAAAACGACCTGCCTAAAAACGTGTAGGTCCACCTCATACAGCCAAAACATCTCTGAAGCGTCAAGGCATGGACTCCACAAGAGCTCTGAACATGTCCTGTGATATCTGGCACCGATATATTAGCATATTAATCTTTAAGTGGTGCAAGTTGTAAGGGGGGGCCTCCATGGATCGGATTTGTTGTTCAAGCACATCCCACAGATGCTCGATCAGATTTAAATATGGGGAGTTTGGAGGCCAAGGCACCACCTTGAACTCTTTGTCTTGTTCTTCAAACCATTCCTGAACAATGTTTGCAGTGTGACATTATCCTGCTGAAAGAGGCCACTGCCATCAGCTGACTTCATTGCCATAAAGGGGTGTACATGATCTTCAACAATCTCTAGCTGGTGGTATGTGCCAAAGTAAGTAAGTGATCCACATGACTGCCAGGACCCAAGGTTTCATCACAGATTATGGCCCAAAGCGTAACACTGCCTCCTCTTGTCTGTTTTCTTCTCATAATGCATTTTGCTGCCATCTTTTCCCCCGCGTACACGCACCCGGCCATCCACCTGATCTAAAAGAAAACAGGATTTGACAGACCAAATAACCTTCTTCCATTGCTCCATGGTGCAGTTCTGACGTCCATATGCCCAGTGAATGCACTTTCAGTGGTGGACAATAGTCAAAATGGGCACTTTCGACAGCCCCATACACAGAAAACTGCAATGCACTGTGTGTTCCGACAGCTTTCTATCATGTCTAGCATTACATTTTTAAGCAATCTGAGCTACAGTAGCTCTCCTGTAGAAGCAGGCAAGATAGGCTAGCCTTTGCTCCACACTTGCCTCGATAAGCTTTGGGTGCCCATGACCCTGTGTGGTGACATTCTGTCATCAAACTAATATGGTGACCAGGGATCACGTGACCAAGCTCATGTACAGTGGGATAAGCTTTACCTTTTGAAATGGTAACTGGGTAATTCAATACCTTTACAAGTCAGGAAAGAGATAACCACTCCCCCCTTCCTTTCTCCATTCCTCTCTGTTCCTTCTTGGCTGTGCTACAGAGCAGATTTGCAGACGCCATGTGCTAGCATGGTGAACCATGTTACTCTCTGTTGCTTCCTTTTCTTGCTTGGTGGATGTGATGTTGAACTTGCAGCAGTGAGCCATTACTAGATGTGAAGGCCTAACCGTGGGTGAGATCAAACGTGTGGGGAAGGGGTTACTATATTGATAGATAGATTTAAAAAGGGTTGTTGCTCCGTGGGTCTGGGCTGTGTGTTTGTGATACATTTATAGTATTGTGTTGTTGCCTTTTAATAAATACCTTTTAATGTAGACGAACCTTGTGTAATATATATATATATATTAATTTGGTGATACACCACACCCTGGTTCACCAGTTGTCCTTCCTTGCAACACTTTTGGTAGGTATTAACCACTGCATACTGGGAACACCCCACAAGACTTGCCATTTTGGAGATGCTCTGACCCAGTTGTCTAGCCATCACTATTTGGCCCTTGTCAAAGTCACTCTTGCCCATTTTTCCTGCTTCTAATGGATGAAATTCAAGAACTGCCTGTTCACTTGCTGCCTAATATATCCCAGCCCTTGACAGGTGCCATTGTAATGATATAATCAATTCTCAATTAAGATCTATTAAATAGCTAAAAAGCAAGGTAATAGGGTGCACCAAATGATCGAATTAGATAATATACAGATAAGTCAATCATACTATCTAATTTGATCTTTTGTCACACCCTATCACCTTGTTTTTCTACCATTTTTAAAGGATAATTTCCCTTTTTAGGTGAACTGCCTCCTACCCTGTTATTTAGTGCTTCCCCATCTTCTCTCTCATTTTTGTTATTAATTAGCAAAGACTCTTACTTTAAACATCCAAGTTTACCTTTGCATTCCAGAGGAACAACGAAACTCATACATTACACATTACAAGAAAATCCCGGTACTAATGCTGAATTCATAAACACATCGCTCACTTATAGTGCTTAGAAGACTTAGACCTTAGAAGGTTTTAGCCAATAAGTGAATAAGTTGTGTCTAAGTCAAAGTTGGGGAACTTTTATGGATTTTGTTAATCTCCCTCTTTCTTTTTTGTTTGCCCCTGTCCTCTCTAGCATTCTCGGGCAATCTGAGAATGTTGCTGCAGCTGGTAATTACACAAAAAAAATCTTCTTGGGGAAGATCTGGCATTCACCACAAGACATGCTAAGGTATTTTTTACCTTTGAATTTAGATACGTGCCACCATTTATCACTCATCTTTGGACTCGGACTACAGTAAAGGTGTTTTTTTTTTCCTTTCATGACACATGAGGCTGTCCTACACCTCTCTCCCCTGATTGAGCGTCACCTCTTTGAGGTCTCATACTTTAATCCATCCAACATCAAGTTCAAACTTTAAAACCTTTTACTAAACTAAAATGATAATAAATGTATCCACCTGTCACAGCTGACATGTACTGCGTTATTTGTTAGCAATTTCAGCAACGCATTAATGACCAGGTATGCCAGCCCATTTTTTGCTTGGATTGGCAAAAATAAAATAGATAAAAAGCAATGACTAGATATGTATTTTTAGCACCTACAAT